ACTACTGACAGTCTGAGCTACTTAAGAGAAGCGCACTCGGGGCTTCCGCTGAGCGCTGGGGGTTCAAACGGTTTGATCTGCCGCCTTAAAGTCAGAAACATACTTCTTGGTGAACACCAGAAGTTCAATTGGTTGTCGAAAGACGTATTCAAGCGATAAATTGGAGTTAAACTCGAATGCGGTACGAAAAAGGCGAAAGTGAGTGGAAAATGTTCAGAGTGGTACTGAAGTCGAATTTTCAGAACGGCAAAAAAAGGTTTTCTGGTAGAATGTGATAAACTTTCATGATTAGCATAAATGCAGGAGCAAATGCGTAATTAAAATCTGCTACAAAAGTTTACTTGTACGGATTCTAATTTTCTTCCCAGATTGTCGGTAGGAAACACCTGCGAATGATACTGTGGCTCGACGTAAGCTTCGCTAATCCACGTAAGGGGTTCATCGGCAACCTCACCATTGCAGACGACTGAAAACAATAGCAACAAGCCTTTTAGCTTTGTTAGCAGATAAAACGTATTCAATTCCAGCAGCTTATCCACTTTACAAGTCAAATTAGCATCGTTTATGGACGTGAGCAGCGCGGAGGTAGCATTCTGAGCCACCTGTTGCATGAACACCAGAGTAGATAACTTCGACGGCTTTCGATCCACGTGGTGAAAATAGTTTATCCACTGATATTTTGGAGCTTCATACTCTCTGCTGTTCAGAACGCCCTGTTCGACTTTAGTGATTATGGCTGTATCGATGACGGAGTCGAATTTACGTGCAAAAAAGAACAGCCGTTGTCGGGCGACGGCAGGCGACAGCTTCCAGAAATCTTGAACCAAAAATACGTTTGGACTGCATCCACACCAGTCGACGACGTCTTTATACTGACATTTGCAGCCGCGAGACCTCAACCAGTTAGTCAGCTTCAAGTTTATGTTACTCATCGTGTTGCAAAATTGACTGTTGAAAACCAACACGTGGAAAAACGACTCCGCTGGCAACAAAGCGTAACGAAAAAACTGTCGGAGACCGTTTACAAAGCTGCTGCTTTTATTCGTAGCAAAAGTCAAAAAGTTCCTGTGAAGTCCGAACCAGTCTGAACCGCCGGAGACGAAAATTCCTGCAAAACGTCACGACCAAGATTATAGAAATTAGGCTAAAATTTTGATTTTTTTAATGAGAAGATGAACAAAACAAATCTTGTCAAGCCATCAGAGTGACCACGGTAAGATAATTTTCTAATTTAAAACTTCTGTCATTCACGAATCTGATCCATGAATAATTTAAAACAGGATAAAATAGATTTATTCATATGTTTTAATGCACTTCTTTCTGAATAGTATCCACGAATGAAAGAAAATGTCATTTATTTAAATAAACGTAACAAATGGTACCGCAGCAAGAATAGGCATAAAAGAAAATAAGAACTAGTAAACCAGAGAGATGGAAACCTTTTCAATCTTCAAGAAATTCTTCAGATATGGAAGGAACATTTTGAGGATCCCCTCAAATACAGATCCTACCAGTATTCAGTAGGTGCATTTCGGGGCAGAAAGTAATCTAACTGAAGCCCATACTCCAGTAAAGAACCAGCTTACTATAAATAAACGCCTTCAATCGCAGCGATATTCAATAGGTGACTCATGAACACCAGAATAGCATAGAAAACTGAAAGAATATTGGAGTCTAAAACAGTTGTAACAATTGTCTGATAGGGTCAAAAAATTACAACTACTGAGTCATCCTTCAGCTCAGCCGACTTAAAGACATGCCTCGATTTTTTTGTCGTTTCGATTCAAAGTGCCTGTAAAGATGTCGAGAAAATACATAGCAGAAGACTAAGTAGGAGCCATATGACTTTTGTCCCGGCCGCAATCCAGGGGATCTGACCTTTAACCTCCACAGTTACTCTCACCTACGTCATTGGTAGAATAAAATGGCGCAACACCGAATAAATACAAGCGGCAAAACTGAAGGTTCTCCAAAAGATTGCTGGTTTGACGAGGGTTCAAGAAAGCTTTGGAGCACTGCAATTGCAGATACCCTCGATTATGAGCTGCAATCAATCTGAAATCAACAGATTACAATTGCGATGGTTTGGGACCAAGAAGAAAAAAGAAATGGATTAGTAAACAAGACTCTCATTACGAGGTCATAGGCGACTAAGGATTATGTGACTCGATTCTTTACTACTTAGCATTACTACCCTTTCGAATTCAATTCAGTGGAGTGTTGAGACCGTCAATGAAGCCTCCTGAAAATGCTTCCCCCGCCATTCGGAAGAAAATCACACCTTGCAAATGAATTAATGACAACGCAGTAGTAGAGCTCTCATAATTTTGAAGGATCGACGAGAACAAATCGTTGGATGAATAAGGCATAGGGAAAATTGAAGGTGTCAAATATGAAAAGGATGACGAACATGTATCTGTCCCATTTTCAAATTCCACTTTAAGACACGCCCGTCTACTATTAAC